AAAGTCAGCCACTGCTGAAACTGATCAGCAGCTGATTCCAGGAAACCCAGGGCAGAGCAACTCTGCCTCCGGCTTCCTGTAGTCAGCCACTGATCAGTTTCAGCAGCGGCTGAATCTGGAGTCAGTTCCGACTTACATGCAAATTCAACTTAAGAACAAACCTATAGTCCCTATCTTGTACGTAACCCGGGGACTGCCTGTATTGGCTAATTAACTTTTCCCTCCTCCCAAAACTTTCCTGGGACCTGCAGCACAATCATTTTAGTTGCTGGATAAGGACTCATTGTTTTTTGTGCCACCTTGATTCTTGAAATCCTGCCACTACCACTTCCCAGGAAATCAGGACGGAATGTTACAAGGGGTGTCATTGTAATATAAAAAGTGTCCGAGGGCACTGTTGAGAGGGTCAAGTTGCAAATTACTTAGAACCAGGGCTACTTGCAGTCCAAGACTGGGGTTCCTCTTCTACAAGGCACCAAACCAGTCACAAAGATCACTTCAGTTGCCACTCTGGCCAGCAAAAAGTCACACAAACAATCCCCTCAGACACTCCAGCTTTACTTGTACCACAACCAGCACCACTCCTTACACAGATGAGAGGTTACGGAAAACCTATCGCACCAAATCTGAACATGTTCTACCAATCCCAAAGGAACAGCCACATTCCTACGTCAATTTATATCTTAGATCTTACCCAAAAGATCACATTGTGGCACTCCTTTAGAATCTAAAATCTAAACATTTATTAAGAAAGAAATAAAAGCTTGAGAGTAGAATTGTTAAAGAAATTACATTACATACACCAATCACAAAGTGTATGTCTACACTGCTACCCTAGTTCGAACTAGGGTGGCTAATGTAGGCATTCAAAGTTGCAAATGAAGCCCGGGATTTAAATATCCCGGGCTTCATTTGCATCTTGCCAGGCGCCACCATTTTTAAATCCCCCTTAGTGCGGACTCCGTGCCAGCGGCTACACGCGGCACAGAGTAGGTAGTTCGAATTAGGATCTCTAATTC